CGGTGCGGTGTTTATCCTTTTAGGTAACGCGGTTTTTGTTACGTAATTTCAAATTAGGTATCATTTGATACAGTATTTACAGTATTCTTAACGTTCATAGTAATATTAATAATTATAAATAGACAATTAAAACAAATTTGAATAGTTTGGGCCCTGTGGCGATTTAACAATTGCTGTATTGCGATACTCTTTCGTTGAGCGAAGAAAGCAGCTCTGGGTTTACCTGTTCTAAGCAGACGACAATCTTAAACTTTAATTAGCTATGCACTTGAGCCGCACACCCCAAGAGTACTCCAAAGGGAACAAAATCAAACTTGAAGGAAAATCATATTTGAGCCGTTTATTATTTTCCGCCTACTTGGTCACTCCAGCTTTTGTGTTTGTCCGAGGTAGGTGAGACGGGGCTAACGTGTCCACACAAGTAGTATTCAATATAATACCAAAGCCCGTCCCATCCACCAAGGGATCAAAGACATCCCATCCGGCCGCTTGCCATCTTTTAAATAGTTTTGTCATTAACGAAATAGAACTATATTATAGTAGTACTAGATTTGTAACATCAAACGTTTAATACTCTTGTCTTTGACAATAAAATGCTTTTACATCTTACTTTTTTTGTGTTTTTTTTTATTTTCTGCTTTGTGATGTGTATATATCTCGCACACTTATAATTGAAGAACATGTATTGTCTCTGTGAGTAAATAAAACAGCCACGCGTTTTGCGGTTACAATGTTAGCGTGTCTCGAACGGTTTCGCGTTTAACCGCTTTAAAGGAACTTTTCCTTTAACACTAAAATAACACTATTTATTTTCCTACTTAAAATATTTCCAAGTAAACAACTTAATTGCACTTTTTGCTATGTAAGGATGTGAGTCACATGCGTGAATGATTCTCTTATAATCATAGTCGTTAGAATAACGTGCCGATCCATAATTGCAGTTTCATACCGAAATGGGCATAGCACGCCAACCAGTGCATTTAACGAAGACTAGTTTCTTTGAAAAAATCATTAAAATATATGAGATAACACGCCGAGTGAAACGCGTATGAATTCTGTATCTGTGGTTCTATTACACCACAGATAACTAATGTAACTAATCAGGGGAAACGTTCTATATGACTTGCAGTTGCTAAACGGGGCCAAAAATATCCACTACTCTTTTTAATTAATCATTAATATTTTCTGTATCTGTGGTTCTAATACACCATAGATAACTAAATTAACTCTTTAGGGGAAACGTCCTATTTGACTTACAGTTGCTAAACGTGGCCAAAAATATCCAGAACTCTTTTTAATTAATAAACACTTCGTTTCTGTATCTGTGGTTTTTGATTCCAAAATACAAATCAATTTTATATTGATACGATACTCACTACTATACTATAGCTAATTAAAAAAATAAATTATGAACCCATGGCAAGCCAGTTAGCGTGGGCGGTCGTTTGTTCGCTCCCCGTGGCTTACTAATTATTGCGAGTCGCGAGGCTCTGTCGTCTTTATTATTTTACGGACCGTGGCTTTACTATGGTTGACAGGGTATAAATAGTATGAAAACTCTTTTCTTCCACACCACTGTGGAAGAATTATCACGTCAAGTATTTATACAATACAAACCCATGATATAAGGATTGAATCTTAAACTTCCCGCCATCTATTGACGTATATTTTGCATAATAAGATAACCCACAGCTTCTTTGCTATTTGACATCTGACGTGTGACGTTGACATTTAATAATGACATGTGACTGCTAATGTCAGGCTACGTATATTTTATATATGTATATCAGATTACGTATACTTTTTAAAAGACGAAAACTCAAAAAGCTTGTAGTCAATATTTGAGATCTGACGTGTGACATTAATAATAATCATGACAGATGAAGGTCGTTATGTAAGTAAAAATCTCTGTGATAATTGGTTCAAAATTGATATTTCGTATCAATTGTGATTGGCTAGTAGCGTCGTTCGGCCAACCACTGCTACGTACCTACTACGCATTTCTATTTTCTATATACCATGAAGCTGAACACCATGTATACAATATTAACAATCCGCCATTAATATAGTCCAATTAATTTTATTGTCGCGACGTCGGTTTCAATAACTGCGGGTACCGCGCAAGTGATCGATGAGTTATGTCCACTTAGTTACCCCTTCAATTGGATCCTTGATTGGTTTGACGTGCACACCATTATTATGAGGATGGTCGATAAATTGGAACTGATTGTTTACTGACGGCGTATTTATTTTGTACATTATTCTACGCACGTTATACGTACGGTTATGGAATAGTGAGTAGTAGTTATAGGCCGGATAAGGCATTGCTTAATTCAGATTCGAATTATATAAAGATTGGTGTCATTTTTAAATATTCCTTATACTAGAAATGATATATAATCTTGAATATCTAATTCGAATTATAAATGGTAAATCGAGTACTGGCGATATATAATACAAAAAAAAAACAAATTATAACCAAGAAGTTTGTATAGTTTTTGCTAGGAAGCGCGTGATTTCGTTTGTCAATGACGTGTTCTAATCTGTGCTAATATTTGGCTTATTTAATTTAAGCGCCAATCAATATTCATATTATCACATTTAATTCTTATGAATTATTAAATTCAAACCTAATTATAGAAATACGTTGTATAAACTACTTTAATGTTTATAATACATTATGTAAATCAGTATTTTAAGTGATTTTAAGTTTTCCTAATAAGTAAATAAATATAGTTTATTAATAGCAAAATTGTTCCTTCTATTTTAAAAGTATTTCATCAAGCGGATTTTAAATGAATGGCTAATTCGAATTATAATTTGATATATAATACAGAATTAAAAAAAAACAAATTATAACCAAAGGGAATTATAAAAAAGTTTTAAAAAAAAAGCGCTCCATTTCGTTTGGCATCGTGTTCTAATCTGTGCAAATGTTTGGTTGCGCATCTTTGGCGCCATTTAATATTTATATTATCATTTTTATCTCTTATAAATTATTAAAATCAATCAATTATCGAAATTAGTTAAACAATATTCACAATATTGTGTAAATTAGTCGTGTAAGTGATGCATCTGTTTTGTTGAAGTGTGTTGTTTTCCTTGAAATTTGACGCCCAATTAGTAAGTAAATCGTAGGCCTATGAAAGGCCGTTTTACATTTTCATTATTCTATAGTGAAATCCCTACTAATTTAACGCTTACGTTACGGTAGGTTAATAAATATATATGTTCGTTATATTCGCAACACGACGCAAGCTATTTAAAATAATGAAGAAATTGCACATCATAATTCTTATCTAACTGCAAGTTTCTTATTAATTTAGCTGTCTACGGTGTGCATTCTATTTCGCTACACACAGTGAGATTATAATTGCTCGTAATATCTCATTATTGCATTTATGTGAGCACAAATGTTTTTTGTTGGATAATTGCTGCAATTAATACGAGCGGACGCGGTCATGACGCGATGACGTCATCAACATGTTTTATGGCCGAGAAAGACAAGAGTATCAATTTTAACAATCTATTAAAAATAATCTACAGTAGTAATGTTTGTTATACACGCCTTACAACTGGAATAAAGTGCAGGCCTTATTGCCGGCACCCGCTGCCCGCTGGGAGACCTCCAGGAAAAAGAAACGTGGGAAGACCACAAAAGCGATGGGCGGAGACGTAGTTCAGGTTTTGGGGAGAATTGGATGAAGAAGCTAAGAACAGATCCTAATGGAAAGTTCAGAAGGAGGCCTTTACCCAAAAAGGGAAAGAAACGGGAATAAATTTAATTTAAAAAAATATGTGTAATAAAAATGAATCACGATTGTGATGCGCGATAGATTTATCATTTTTAAGTGACAACTGAACAAATAAATAACTAAAATTTAATAATGATGCTTAGCTATTTCTCAAACTTGTCAAATGCTCTGTCAATTAACTTTGACGTAACAAATATTTAAAGCATACCATATTACAAACAAACAAAATGTTTAATCTGTAAGGACAGAAGTATGGTCATATAAATAACATATATTATTATGTATATAAACACACTAGCAGCTTAGTAAGCTGATGCGCGTGTATTTTGAGATTTGGAGAAACTATCCAACCTATTTTTAAAGGAGTTCAGAGATGGTGCACTGATTACACTTTCCGGAAGCCTATTCCAGTCGGTCACTACTCGATATACACTAATGTTTAACTGCCCCTTGGGGGCGTCGGAGATGCTCCATAATCACTAAATTTCGGTTTACAGCGCCCCCCTAGGCACGATATAAGAGAATAAGTATGATGAAAAACAACAAAAAAATTAGTAAAAAGATCAAATAACGCTAAGAAAATACAAAACATTAATTAAAACTATTTTTTTAATTGCTTAATTTTCCTTAATTATTAACAAACTAAGAGTAGAACACCAAAAAGCCACTACGGGGTTTGGTGCCTGAAGGTGAACCACAGATCCTTTTACTAAACTAGAGTTAAGAAAAAAATACATTCAATACAAAAACGAAACGAAAACATAATACAAACACAGAGAGAGATGTTTTTTACAATATACATAATTCTATAAATAAATTAAATTTCTTTAAAATAAATAATAAATAAATATGATTGGACATTCACACCAATTGACTTAGTCCCATGCTAAGTTGGTGAAGCTTGTGTTATGGGTACTAGGCAACGGATATACATACAACATATTATAGATAGATAGACATATAAATACATATTTAAACACCCAAGACCTAAGCACAACACCAAATGCTCATCACATCGATGTTTGTCTCAGCCGGGATCGAACCCGGGACCCATAGATTCGCAGTCAGGGGTACTAACCACTAGACCAATGAGCCGTCAAAAATGAGACGATAATTGTTAATTTTCTTCCAGGTCAACAAGACGAAAACAAATATGGCCTCAGCAGTGTCGTGGGCAACACTGGCGGTGCCAGACTGTGTGCCCAATGCGGGAAGGTCATCACTGAACGATTCCTTTTAAAAGCCATGGAGAGGTTTTGGCACGAAGACTGTCTCAAATGTGGATGCTGCGACTGTCGTCTTGGCGAAGTGGGCTCCAAGTTGTATTATAAAGCCGATCTCATACGCGGAACTATAAGTGGATTAAGCAAAGAAGATTATCTTTCAAAAAATTAAAAATAAATTGAAATTTGGAGGGTTTATAAAGGGGGGGGGAGAAAGGGGGGCTAGGTATGTACCTAATAGACAAATGTGGTGCCAATCCACTCCCGTAAGTTCCATCTACCAGCCTGTCTCTTGCCATGAATTTTGGCCATCATTATTAGCTGATCCCGCAATATTAATTAATTTAGTTCAGTCAGTAGATTTGCACCTTAACTTCTCATCATCTTAAATCTAAACATACGCAGGTACTGTGCAATATAAGGTATAGGTAGACCCAATTATTATATATATACTGCTCAAAACAATTAGCGGAACAAGATTTTTCTCCTTTCTATTGCTTAAACTAAAATTAGATTTAAATTAACTTGTACGCTATTTTTTACCTTGTTAATTTGTTAATTCGTCGTAAAACTATGCGTTATGTAGGAATTGTTAGGGGTAGCCCCTCTGTTATCTACAGACTTTGAAAGGGATACCGTGAGACGGGAGAATACTCACGAAGGCGTGGTCAAGGTCGAAAGAAAAACTACACGTTTGCAAGATCGCTACATCGTCAACTGTGCTTTACGTAACCGCACCACAACTGCAAGAGATCTACAAAATACACTAAGGACGGCCCTACTGGTGTAGAAATTTCCGACCAGACGGTAAGAAATAGGTTGTAGGACAATTTGAGATCAAGAAGTTCGGGCTGTGCGTCTAACAACTCCACAAAAAAAAAAGCTCACCTTCTGTTTCACGCTTCTTATGAGGCCAGTGCTTTTTACTGACGAATCACGATTCCGTCTAACACGTTGCGATGGTCGTCTCCGTGTTTACAGACGCCCAGGCGAGCGATACAGTGCAGCAGCAGTCCAGGAATATGACAAATTTGGATGTGGTGGTTTGTGATGGTTTGAGGCGGAGTTAGTTTGGACGAGCGCACAGATCTCGTCGTTGTTCCCGGGCGCTTGTGTGCTCAAACTTACATTGAAAATGTGCTCGAAGATCATGTTTAGCCCGCAGCATATGGTATGGGCCCAGATTTTCTTTTAATGCAAGATAATGCCAGGCCGCATACTGCAGCCATCACGTCAGATTACTTACGACAGCAGGAAATCCGTGTAATGGAGTGGCCTTCCATGAGCCCTGACCTAAATCCAATTGAACACATTTGGGACTTGCTTGACAGGCGCATCCGGAAGCGTCCGATTGCACCTCAAACACTGCAGCAGCTCACTGAAGCGTTGATTGAAGAATGGGAGCGAATTCCACAAGAAGATATTCGGAGGATCATACGAAGCATGCCGAGTCGTTGTCAAGTCGTGATTAGGGCTCATGGAGGCCACACACGTTACTGAAAGTCACTAAAGACGAATATTCAAACGATATAAGAATATTTCTTTGATGGACCTTTTTTATCACCAATTAGTTTTTCGTCTACAATGCACATTTTAATTTTTTTTTAATAAAAAAATACAAATTTTTTTTTTATTAATTGTAGTAATTAACAAATTAACAAGGTAAAAAATAGCGTACAAGTTAATTTAAATCTAATTTTAGTTTAAGCAATAGAAAGGAGAAAAATCTTGTTCCGCTAATTGTTTTGAGCAGTATATATATTTCCATGGCTTCGAAGATTAATAACAAAATATATTTTTAATGGAGAATTTATGGCCTGGTAACTAAAAACTTCTTTATAATCAAACCAAAAACAATAGAAGCCAGACTTTGCTTTGACAAGAAGAAAATGTTTGATTACGATTATATCAACACTCAACATGGCTTGGCTGCAACTCGGCTAAGTGTGAACTCAGAATCTAATCTCATGGCGTTAATTGTATAAATCCGGGTCTAGTACCTTACGACATATTTTTATTACAGGTTATTCGGTGCCACGGGCAATTGTGTGGCGTGCAATAAAGTAATTCCCGCCTTTGAAATGGTTATGCGAGCAAAGAGTTTCGTTTACCATTTAGAGTGTTTCGCCTGTCAACAGTGCAATCACAGGTATGTCTTTCTAAACTCGTTACGACTTACAATTATTGCTCTACAATGTGTTGTATATGTGTTGCAAGTAATTAACAATAATCTTAATATATATTAATTACGTGTCACGTTGATTGTCCGCTATGGACTCCTAAACTACTGAACCGATTTCAATCAAATTTGCACACCGTGTGCGGTTTGATCTAACTTAAAAGATAGGATAGCTAACATCTCAATTTACACCCGTAATATTATTTTAATGCAAATTTTTTGATAGTCACAATTCTAACAGATGGCGCTGTGTTGAAAGTACCAACGTTTCACATAAGCTACAATTTAATGGCATAACCATCAAAAAAGCATGGTTGTCCCCATGACTGGTGTTCTCCTACCGTTTCCCTTGAATAGTTTGCTACTATGTAATATAACAAAAACCTTAGCCACAGCAACGCTTGGCCGGTCTGCTAGTTTATGTATATAAACTCTTATACTTATATGGAAATTTTTGTTCTTCATGGATTTCAATTAATTAAATTAAATTTACGTAATATTTAAAATTGTGTAAATTACGCGTTTAGGTAATATATTATTACATTTTGATGAATTTAAAATCGATGTACACAGCCAAACAATAAGAAGTGGTCGGCAATAAAGAATGTCTTAAGTTTTTCTTAATTATGTATATAAAAAAAAATTACACGATTATAAGTATACAGTACAGCAGACAATTAAATTTAACTAATCGTAAATTTCCTTAGGTAACCTTTTTTTAAAAAAGAGTTTACATATATCGCAAAAAACTTATATATGTAATTATGTATATAATATTATTATTATAATCAAAAGCACATAAACAATAAACATTTACATATGTTATTAGACAATTCAAGTATTGGGAATTAGGTCTAATCGCGAACCTAGTTTTTCCATTGCCAATAATTTGAATGTTATCCAGGTTCTGCGTGGGCGACAGATTTTACTTATGCGACAACAAAATACTGTGCGAGTATGATTACGAGGAGAGACTGGTTTTTGCCAGTATGGCGGCTAATCCCACTGGCTTAGCTCACATCCGGAGGCAAGTCAGCGGCCTACAGGTGATACAAGCTTATACTAACTACCATATATTATATTAATAGCACTAAACAGTCGGAGATTATGTCGTTAGATTAGAATTTATTCTGTAGCGTCATTAATTAGTCATTTTCTAACGATAAAAGTATTTTTCTAGTAGCCTAGTAGCTTCAGCGTGCGATTCTCATCCCTGAGGGCGTAGGTTCGATTCCCGTTTGTGCACTAATGGACTTTCTATATGCGCATTTAACATTCGCTCGAACGGTGAAGGAAAACATCGTGAGGAAAACTTGTCTTAGACCCAAAAAATCGTGTGTCAGGCTGATCACCTACTTGCCTATTAGATTGACAAATGATTATGAAACAGATACAGAAATCTGAGGCCTAGACCTAAAAAGGTTGAAGCACCACTGATTTTTTGTAAAGTTATGTAATTGTGAAGTAACCGATCTCTTAGGATTCATAATCGAACCTTAGCGCTAATAGAGAGACGGGAATTAGAGACATTATTCTAGAAAGTCTTGAATTAATATATTTATATACGGTATGAAGATCCTACTCCTACTAAATTGAATCCATAACCCCAATAATAGGGCTCCATTAGATCAAAACTTCAAGAAATATATTATTCAGCTAACATACTGTCGTTTCCCATGATTCGACCACCTGTTATGTTCCGAACAATTAGTTTTCTCTGACGTGTACCAATGTTCTTTGTTACGTAATGATTAATATTGCAAATTTAATAGCCAATAACTAACGCTATTAACTGAGAATGAACGGTTAAAATAAATGCATATTTATCGATTTAATACGCAATTATTACGGTGCAATTTACGTATAAGTTTACGCGGTTAAATCTTCGCAAATAAACGGGAAAATAGGTCCGCGAAGTAAATAACGCAAGGACAGTGGGAGATTCTATCTACTTTATTATGTTTCTTTTGTGATCATTAATCTTTCTCGTACGAACGCTTGTCGGAATGCGAATGTGGGGGAATCTATTTCATTTTATGAGCTGGAGGGGGCTCATTCAGCCGGATGACACTTCTAATCGACTTTTTGATTGCGCTCACCATCCACAAATACAATTGTGCAATATTGGATTGTATATTGTATAGTGTCTGAGGTACTTTTCATTATCTTCTGCAATTGTTCAATTAAATAGATAATAATTCACTGTACAATATTTGTAGGCACTTTAGTTAAGGTACTAAAAAAATCCTCGAAAGAGGAGTGACTAGTTATTATTGCTGGTTTCAAATATCTTGCTTTAAAAGAATAGGAATACACGTTACCGGACTAAAAACTATTAAAAATGCAATACCAATAGCGCCTTTTAGTTTCGGGCCTCAGATTTTTGTATCGTTTGTTTTTGAAGTTATACTTCTTTAAGCGCGTTATGAAAAATTTATGAGAGTGAAATTTTACGATGCGCGCGCACCGTGACACAAAATTAACAGAATGAAGTTGCCCACGGAAGATGCTACGGCATTGGACATAATTTAAAAACAACATTCGAATCATAATAGAATTTATGTTACACTTAATGTAAGAGAATAATAATAAATATTTTTTATTTAATTTTTCAAATGTAAACTGAACTTTATTGACTATAATGACTCCTTTTCCAGTCTTTGATTATTTAATTGTAATTAATTATTTGCATGCAATCAAAAACTATTTTTAATAATGCCAAAGAAGTATAACTTTTTACGCGCGTTCATAAGTACACGCACCCTTTTTTGTTTTCTAATAGGCTTTTTGTCGCCGTCAACTCCGGGTCTAACTTAGTTTCCTCACGATGTTATTCTTCACCGAGCGGATGTTAATTGCGTACATAGAAAGTCTATTGCACTGATGGTACGAACCCACGACTTCAGCAATGAGACTTGCCGAAGACACGCTCAAGTCGCTAGGCTCTATAGTGATTATTATAATGTTACATAATTTAACATAAAATTATGTATTAATTAATTATGTATTTTTAAAACGACTTAAAAGCCCGAATGAGTTAACAATTCGACCCGAATTTTATTACTTTACTTAATTTGAGTTTTTAACTTTATAAATACTTAAAATGTTTCAATTGTTTGGATTTATTAGAATTTTATTTAAATATTTTTGTAGTCACCGAGCGGAGGATACGTAGGTGGCGCGGCTTGCGCAGGAAATCCCGCGGCGTTGGTGGAAAAGGATAACGGGGGCTGCGCGGGCGCAGACGACGCGTCGAGCGGTTACGGAAGCCCGCCAGACCCCGATGTGTGTGATGCGGCGCGATGACCGTCAATGCCGCGCCGACATCTTGCCTCGGTAAGACATTTATTTATTAAAGTTCACTACATCATATGCTAAATCTACAGTATATGTGAATGTTTATTTTTCATGTATTCTTTATTAGTTTAGTTTCATTTTTGTTCCAGTTTAGTTTTTTTTTCTCCATAACAAATGTTATATTTATTTTGCTCTTCTTCACCTTATCTAATTTAACGCATTTTTTTTCTCACAGTGGTTGCCTGGAAGAGATCGCTCGAAAGCGATAAGGCCGCTAGTTGCCCTCCTTTTCTTTTAATTATGTTCAATTTTTATATTGCATGCAACGAAGTGTTAATAAATAAAATAAATATATGCTACAAGCTATCTATTCTAAAATACATGACTATTATAGTAAACACAAATGTTCCATAAATTAAAATACAAAAAAATATTTATTGTATTATTATTTATTTTACTAGTATCATAGTCAGATGAATAACAATAATTATTATATATATATATTCGGTATAATTGTATAATATATATTGTAGCTGTTTGGAGTCACAAGGAGTGTATCAATATACATAATCGCTAAATTGTATAATTAATGCTACCGTGATATTTCTCTATTATAGGGATATTTTTAAGTTGCAAATAAATTTAAAAAGTTTGGTCCATCTGTAATTACTGAATAAATTAAAAATTCTCGGTAAACGTATATTCTTTAAAGCTTTTTATAAATTTGACGATTATTTAAATGATCCTAATCCTTGGGATTGATTTGCTCCAGTTCAAATAATTTGTAGGACTCAAAACTTGGCGATTAAAAAGAGTGGCCCCTTGGCTTGCGAACTGGTAGTAAATGTTAATTTCGAATTAATTTATCATCTTTTCTGTTGACGTTCATAAGTGTACTTGCTTTCCTATATGAATAAAGTTATTTTGAGTTTGAATCGCTATTTTTAAAAAGAAGTCGCACAGTCCAGTCTACATGTGTAAACATTTTTATATTAAGTTTAGGTTGCTATTTAATACTGACAATTAACTTCATCAGAGGGTACAGTGGCTGGCTTTAGAAACTAAATATATTTTTCTTTACAGGTAAAACCGCACTGAGAGGTAGCAGGGCGGCGCATAAACGATATTCAAAGGAAATCATTACAATTATAATTAATTTATTAAATATCTCACAGCTTTACATTTATTTAGTAGTTCATATTTAAATTAAAAACAGTTCTTAAGCCACGCTCAAACCTGCTCAGTTATTTTATTCAATAATCATCGGAACCGGAATTATTCCACGGTTGATTCCGACCTATTGATAATACTGCGTTTGAATTGGAATGATTTTGGGGCTGATTCCAATCTTTTAAAAATACTGTATTTGAATGGGAATGATTCCGGCCTGATTACGACCCCTTGTAAATACTGAGTTTGAATCGGAATGATTCCGGGGCTGATTTCAACCTATTAAAAATACTGTATTTGAATCGGAATAATTCCGGGGCTGATTCCGACCTATTGAAAATGCTGCGTTGGAATTGGAATGATTCCGGGGATGATTTCGACCCACTGAAAATGAAGCGTTTTAATCGAATGATTATTCCAATAGTGAGTACGTAATTCCAATTCAGACATCAGCGTTATGTTGAATGTAGAAGTGGTTGTTCAATAACGAAATTGGAATCGCCTCAGTGGTAATTCGTATATTGAGTCAATAATTGGTAATAGCCCCGCTGGTAGGTTCCTAATAACTGCTAAATGCAGGATTTTTTACGGCTGAACATAAATCTATGTAATCTAACTGTTTTTAATTTACATATTTAGAAATTGACATTTCAAAGTAGTACTGAGATGATGAAGATGGCCACGGTAAGAACCGGCTTGCAAAAAGCTTAGTGTTTCACCAACATGCATTAAAAGCATCGCAGAGGTACTGTCAGCAACGGCAATTTTACATTAAAAACGATTTAATTTGTTTACTACCAAAAACATCTTATCATCAGGTCAAAATGTATATATGGCCATAAAATAACATATTTGTTCACCTGACATCTTTTATTTATTTATTAAAGTATATATATAATGCATTTTCTATAGTGTTACAATGTATCTATTTTAAATACATCTTACAGAAATCTAAACATTAAGTTTTTTTTTTTAAATTAAAACTCGGGTTTATTCACAACGTGGACTAAGGTATTCAAGGGAGGGAGCCAGCCAGTACGTCAAAAATATATTAGATTTTGACATATGAAAGCCATAGTTAAGTCTTAAATTAATTCTTAATTTAAAAATTAATCACACAAAAAGTGTAACCATGGTAACGAGCACGGTACTTGTCTTTGAAATAAGTATCGTTATACCGTTACAAAAAAGTTTTAATAACAAAAAGGTTACATAAGAATGCATTTGCTGATAGTACAACGGGCCATGAATGGCGGCCACTTTACAAAGTGTCCGGGATGAGACGCGATAACGTTGTCAGAACACGATATTTCCATTATGTATACGATTTGAGTCCAAGAAGCTTCGTGTGGGACGGCCTAGTGCTAATTGTATTTAAGGCCCGTGTCCACAGACTCCACTGTCATAGATTGTCTTTTGTTTTGTTTTATAAAATAGGTTTTATATAAGTTTCATACAACGAGTCAGGTCCACATGTAATTGATAAAATCGATCTCATTGTTATGAAATTATTCTGTTCTATTCAAAGTTAATGGTAGCGCTATAAAAATTCGAAATTCAAAAAAATACTTGTTCAACAACAACCGACCACTTTGTTTTTTAATTTATGAACGCTGTGGATTGGTCGAAAACTTGCAACGTGAGATGTTCGAATTATGAAATTAGTTCGAATTTTGAAATTAATAGAATTTGCACAGTGCATGTAGTGAATGCCATTGACTTTGAAAAGCACACATCGTTGTTATCATACAAGGTATGAACTTTGATTATTTTGTTTCGATATGAATTGGTTTGTAGATATGTTGTTTTTGCCAAAGATGATCCTTGCGAGGATTTTTATCTTGATTAAAGATTATTTTGTAACCTGAATAGGTTAACGTGGTGCAATGGTCGTAGTTGTATAATATAAATTTAGAATGTACAATATTATAAATAAGATTATGTTTTGTTTACGCCATCGCTTTAGTAATGCGTCCACACGCCCTCTGAATAGCGAGCTGAATTTAGAGTAAAATTATAATGAAATGTACGTTACATTTATTTATACACGAGATCAAATAAGTTAATATCGAACTTGTAGTACTGTAGTATGCTTCACGATATATGTCAAAAAAATAGAGCTTCTGTCTTTTGGCTTTTGAAAGAGTGTATGTCAGAGCAGTGTTTCCCAAGGTGGGGCAATTTGACTGTTAAGGGGGTAATTTGAAGATGGACTCGACGTGTTCATTATGTAAAACCTATTATTTAAGTTTCTTAAGTGAACAATACAATGTTTAATATTATAAATTTATGTATGTTATGTACGGGGGGGAGGATATAAGAGTTTAAGAAAGGCTAAGGTGGGGCATGGCATAAAAAAGTTTGGGAAACACTGATTTAGAGTGATGCTTCTTCGCGGAGAACAGATACTATCATTTACTAATTAATGCTTAGTTTCTGGTAGAACATTCTTTTGTCAAAGAAGAGTTGATAAAACATCAGACGAAAATGAACAATCTTTGGTTGCTTCGGTACCGGCAAACTTCTTGAGCATTAAACAGGGGAGTGGGGGAAAGTTTGCGCAGCGCGGGACACAAACGTCAACTGATTTACCAATCACGCGATCGACTCGTCACTCTCCCGCCGCCGCCCCTCTCAGTGATACCTAAAAATCGCTTCTGCACAGGCAAGGACATTTGTTCAAGATGTTTGCCGGTATCTGTACTTAAGGTTTAAAATACTCAGAAGAGCCATGCACTTTAATACATTTTCTAGTTTGACAATTGACACGCAACTCACATTTTGACATTTGATTTAATAAACTATCAGCCTCTATTCAGCGTACGTGTGGTGTAATAAAATGTTATAACTGACAGCTATGTCATGTATTATAGATAATAGTTAATATAAATCTTCAAAAGTGCAATTCGTACGTTAAATGATAAGAAATAGGGCTCCACTTGGCACTTGACATTAAGTGCACTTTTGAAGATTTAAATACAAATGAGGACTAGGGCGTGGTTATATGAATTGAGAAATCATTTTAAAAGGAACAATCTATTGGGACGATTTGTAATTTTTCAATTATGATGAAAGAATTGTTAACAAAGAGAGGAATGGAATGGAATCTCGCTGTTAGCCTTACGGACCTTGACAGCTCAGCTCGGGCTGTTTTGGCGAGTCGCGGCCCTCGGCTTGGCCCATCGCGGAGTGGTCAATCGCCTGAAGGGCAGGAGGGAAGCTCACTGGATTCAGCGAAATTCTAATCAAAGGTTCACACTTCACGCCTTCTCCGGTGAAGGCTTTTTTGCCCTAAGATTTGAATTTCCTTTCCGCGTAGGCAGCTTCTAATTTGTTCTTGGATACGGTGAGCTGATCATCCGGATCCGTTAGAACATCTCGAGACCTACGGCCTTTTTTGTCGGGAAGGGAGGTTCGTTTATTGTGATTGGTCAACACTTTAGTACAATCACAGATATGCGACACACTCGACCAATGACGGGGAAAAGCGCCATCTAGTATCAATTTTAGTTCATATTCTTATTAATTCCAGAATTGTCTAAAAATTATATATTTAATCGTGCCTTCTCAATTCATACAATCAAAAATTTTGGGAAATCTCAATGTACTGTATTAAAATTGTATCTATGTAAATGCCGTCGCTACAATTAATATGTTCTGTCTAGGTTATTGTCTATCACATAGGAGTAATACATTCTGAAACATCGACAGATACATTCATTTAAAGTTATCGTGTAAATAAATATATTTATTTAAACTTAATTGTGTTTTAATACAATTCCACAGACACTTATACTGGGTGCCGTATTCGAGACCGGTACACTTGGAACAAGGAAACA